AGTTGGCCCACCTGCCATAACCTGACTGACTCTTCTGCCTTGTCTTCATGGGACTTTTAGGGGATGGAGCCACGGCCCATCTTGAAACAGGAGGGTTCATCCGCAGCCGGCCCGGGATCCCCCACCCAGACATTCAGTTTCACTTCCTGCCATCCCAAGTGATTGACCACGGGCGGAAACCCACCCAGCAAGATGCTTACCAGGTATGCAGATAGCCTTGGCCAGAGACTGTGCCTTCCTGATCCTGCATTAGAAGAGATGTTCATGGTGTTATCGGTCCCACCATGCAGACCTTCATTTGGTACTCTGCTCCCCTGTGGCTACTATCTGACTGGAAGAGGAAAGGGGACCCAAGCCTTATGCCAGGGAGAGAGCCCAGGAACCAGTCTGCAGGATGTATAGAGGGCAGGATCTATACCCATGACCACAGGCAAACTACCTCAGCCCCAGGATCATGCCCTGAAAGTTTCAGACAAAGGAGTAAAGGCCAGACAGGGGTGGGGAGGTTGGAAGAAGGTCAGATACTAAACCTTTATGCTCTACATTGAATACTGAGTCCCCACCCACAGGGAAGCAGGGCCTGCTCTAAGCTTCTGAGAGGTAGTTAATGGAGATTACTGTGCACTGTTTCCTCTGAACCCTCCTAGGTACACGTGGGAACCATGAGGGGCACAAGTGTAGGCTGGCTCAAACTGAGAAGTGCCAACCCTCGGGACCACCCCATGATTCACCCCAACTACTTGTCTACAGGTAACTCAGAGGCTACTTTATGTCCCCTGGGCCTGGCATCGTTTTAAGGAATCTTTATATGGGGTTCCTTTCTCTGGATCCTATTTCCTAACACTGGGGATGCTCTCAGTTTGGGGTCACACAAAGTAGCTGGGGTGGGGGACTCATTTTGCATGGCAGGACAAGGGTGCAGCTTGCAGACCCATCTGCAGGAGGTACAGATGCCAGGCCCATGCGTACTCCCTGCCTGGCTTTCCCCCGCCCTTCCTTTCAGCGTTGAGAGCATGCTGCATTCCCAGGCTGGCCTCTACATGCAGCAGTGCCAATACTCACAGCCCACATGGAAGGTTTTACCCCTGTGGCACGGTGGCTTGACAGCCACATAGTAGCAGAGTAGATTGCTCATCTTTACCTCTGGTTGCCAGAGAAACCAGACCTCAGACACAAACATGAGCCTCTTGGCACCATAACTGCTTCTGGGCAGGTGACAAGCGCTTGCAGCTTGGTTCTCCATGTCCCTGATCGCTGTCCCTCAGTTCCACTTGGCCAGCAGAGTAAAGAAGGGGAACTCATTTATCTCTCCTCCACAGAAACCGATATCCAGGACTTCCGTCAGTGTGTGAGACTGACCAGAGAAATTTTTGCGCAAGAAGCCTTGGCTCCCTTCCGGGGAAAAGAGCTACAGCCTGGAAGCCATGTCCAGTCAGACAAAGAGATAGATGCCTTTGTACGGGCAAAAGCAGACAGTGCTTACCACCCCTGCTGCACCTGTAAGATGGGCCAGCCCTCTGACCCCACTGCTGTGGTCGACCTGCAAACCAGGGTTCTCGGGGTAGAAAACCTCAGAGTCGTTGATGCTTCCATCATGCCCAGCGTGGTCAGTGGCAACCTGAATGCTCCCACAATAATGATTGCAGAGAAAGCAGCTGACATTATTAAGGGGTATCCGGCACTCTGGGACAAGGACGTTCCTGTCTACAAGCCGCAGACTCTGGCCACCCAGCGTTAAGGCAGCCCACTGCCTGAGGATGACAGAGGAATTCATATCAAGCCAAGAGATCCAACTCATGCAACCCTGCCCCAGATAGTTCCTGAACCTGTAGACTCTTGGGACCCAGATATCCCTACTCATGGCTAAGACCTTCATGGCATCTGAGGAAAAAAGCTGTGGCAGTGAGTGAGGCAAGTCCCTTTTCCCAGTGTCTCTCTGAGGACCCAAGGAGAAAGGCTAGCATGCAAGCTGGGGCCTCGTCCTGACCTCCTGGAGTTAAGTTAGGAAGGTTAACTCTTGCGTGGTTTTCTTGCAAGCCCTTCAGCCATCTCCAGCCCAGTGTTCTGTGGCCGGGAGAAGAATGATCCTCTCCCCGGCGCCCCACTCAAGGCCACTCTGCAAAGGCAGGGTTTTTGAACTGAACTGGGGCTCTCCAAGGAAGCCTTAGCGGAGGCCAAGAGCCAGGAAGAAGCTTAGCCAGGGCTGGTACCTGAGCTCATGGCCGCGATGAGAGGAAAGGCACCCAGCTGGAGGACACCGGCTCTCCCTTCTCCTGCTCTGATTCAATTCTGAGCAGTGAGGTGCAGGAATGGGGGCTCGAGGGACTGCATAACTCACCTGCCTCGTGCTGGCTGTCCTTACAAGAAAATGAAGACCAGGCACATTTTGGATTAGTTTCTCTAAGGCGTGCAAAGCCACCATCTCTAGTGGGGGAAGAGCGGGATGACTGTATAGGAACCTGCATTGCGAGACCAAGAGCAGTGGGGTGGGGGGCATCGGGATCCCAGGCTCCACCAGGATTGACTGGGAGTGAACCAACCTTCTGGGTGGTTGAGTTCAGATAACTGCAGCTGAGAAACACCTTCCAGAAAGGTTAAAGTAAACCATCGCATTTCTATGAAAACCAGGCTGCGTCTGTTTTTTGTTTCATCTTACCTGTGCCTTGCTTTCTTCTCCCTCCCCCGCCACCCTGTTCCAAAAGAAAGTCATAGAAAACCCTTGGTCTGCCAAGAGATTCTCATAGAGCAGGTGCCACACGGCGTCCATCGTGTGTGGACCATCCATTGCAGTGGAGGTGCCACCCGTGGGAGGGCCGCGTTCTGCACTGCATAGCGGTATTTCAGATAAGAGAAGACTAACTCCGACATGCTCCTCAGTTCCATCCAGGCCTTTCTCTCACTTTGGCAAACCAAGGCAGGCTTCGCAGTCAATACCTCTTAGCCACATAAGGAAGTGTGTTTCTGGAGACAAAAAGCGAAGGCTGTGGACCCAAAACCCAAAGAGGTCAAGTGGGAAACTGCTGTTGGGGTTCAGACTCAGGACACAGAATATGTGATTCAGAGGGTTCCTCGCTGAAGTCCTGATGGCCTATCATGGCTGTTCCTGTTTCCAGCTCAAGAAGAACAGACGGACATGCAGGACAATCCTGCTGGAGTGCTGAATCCACATGCCAGGGCTGCCTGGAAGTCCCAGTGCCCCGAGTGAATCAGAGTGGTAGAGAGACACAAGCCTGCTTGGTTAGAAAGCGGCGCCCACACTGGCCCTGTTAGACTGAGTTCGTGGGCAACCAGACAGACTTTGTTAGCCAAGTAGGCTCCTTGGCAAGAAGTCTGTAATACCTAAACCATGGAAGGGCCACATGCTGCCAAAACTGGTGGACACACGTTTAGCAAGCGTAGGTCCTAGGGTTGACCCCTAGAATCAAAAAGAAAAAGCTACACTCATGCCCAGAGCTGTGGGGAGCCCGGCTGTGCTGAGTGAATTGAGCCTACCTCACCGTTGGCCAAATGTGTTCCTGACAGGGTGAGGGACAGACCATGGAGGGAGACAGGAACAGCTGGTCAGCATGACCGGAAACAGTCACTGAAGCAGGAAGTGGAAGTATTGGGACACAGAAGCTCTTCTGCCGCCAGTGCCGGCTGCAGGGTTACTTTCCATAAATTCAAATCGGTTCTTCTCAGCCACCACCCCGCACCCCACAGGCCCCCAGAGTTTCCATATTTCCACTGATAAACTATCACGATATCAAATCTAATGCAAAGATATTTATCTTCAAAATTAGGGAGGAAAAGAACATGACCTACCCCTAGGCCCTAGTTGATGGCCTGGGCGGCCCCTGCTGGCTGAGCTGCCAGCTCTGTAGCGCATTTCTTCAACCATTCTCTGATTCCAGAAGCCAGTCTGAGACTCTCTCTAGTTCCCCACAGCCCCTCCCTTCCCAGAAAGCAGAGCTGGGGTGGGTTGTGTGTATGTGTGTGTGGGAGGGTGCCCACGATGTGCTGGGGTGGGTTTTGTGTGTATGTGTGTGTGTGTGTGTGCCCACAATGCGCTGGCGTGAATTTTGTGTGTGTGTGTGTGTGGGGGGTGTGCCCACGATGTGCTGGCGTGGGTTTGTGGGGGGGGTGTCCATGATGTGCTGGGGTGGGTTGGGGGAGGGGTACCCCACAATGTGGTAATCTGCTTTGACAAGTAAACCAACACTCCACACTCCCCCAAATAAAGGCAAAGATAATAAAGATGATAAAAGGTTTAGAGCATGAAATAAAGCTTGTCTGCTGATAAGTTGGGCTACTGGAAGTGTGTGGTGCACCCAGCTACTGTCTCAACGCCCCTCTAGGGTCACACAGAGTGACAGACTTTCCCGATGAGGTTCTTGCTGTTGGTTAGCAGACATAGTGATTCCCACACTTCCTGGTGTCCATTAGAAAGCATGACCTTAAACTAAAAGCAGCGGTTCAGGGAATTCAAAGTCGTTTAGGGGGTGGGGAACCAAAAAGCAGAGGTATTTAATCTTAAAACTTCTTTAAACGGGGGGAAAAAACCATGCTCTACAACTTCAAATTTTTCTTACAAAGAGAAATTTAATATTAGATGAGAGGTTGAACCAGACTTAAAGCAGACACACTGGGAAGTGGAGCAGCCTGAAAAGCCAGGCAGCATTGGTGGGCTGACTTTGGGAAAGAGAATCACCCGTTCCAGAACACGCAGTCCCGGCATGGCAAGCGTGATCTGCTGATGTTAAGTCGCACAATCATACAGACAGACACCCAGCAAGAAAGAGTCCAAGAAATGCTGATGGTGGTTTAGCCCTTTAGGAGAAGCAACCCTCTCTGCAGCTGGTGCAAAGTTACTATTGGCCTTGGAGGAGCCCGAGGGCAGAAAAAGCTGCCTGAGCCCAGGGCTGCCGAGAGCACCTGCCCCTCTGAAGCTCCCACAGCAGAGCCAGCTCTGTGAGGAGAGCTCCCGGTACAATGAAATTATTACACAGTTTGTTCTGAAGAATGTTTTGTTTTTTAATAAAAAAAAGGCTTTATGTCAGGAAATCGTCATTTACAAACCTTGAAGTGTTTTTGCCTGCATCTGGAGTAAGAATGTCCTAGGAAGAGGTTTGTGAGGTCTTTGTAACAAAAGTGTTAGTTACAAAAAAAACACCCCAAACAAACAAACAAACAAACAGAAAAAACAAACCCAAAAAACTTTTGTTTTTCCACGGGCTGTCTGTGTACTAGATAAAAATTTTGAACCCAAATTGCTACCTGTATTTTTGAGTGCAGAGAATCCTTATCAGAAAAAAAAAAATAGAATGGTATCATGTGACTGTTGACCGAATGGGAAGCTTGGACAGTCTGACCGATCCCAAAGCTGACCGTGCCTGGGCATACAGTCGTGCGTGTGTTCTCATGAAGATTCCAGCCCTCGTTCAGTTGCGTCTAACTGCTTTCAAAGAGAACACAGTACACAGCAGCTGTGAAAGGCGACCCTAACATTCCCGGTCCTCACAGTGCTCCCCTCTTCCCCCATGCCAGTTCATTCTTGGGGATGTGAGCCGATGCCTGCAGTTCGCCTGCAAGGTTACTTCAGCATCAGAGACCAGAAGCATCCTGCATGGGCAGCTCAGGAAGCCGGACCAGTGGATGCCCCTGGGCCGAGTAGCCAGCTGGACCTGCTATATAACCAGCTGACCAGGGGATTATAAAGTGAAACCAAACCAAAGATAAGAGGTACGGTATAAACTCACAGAACCCAAAGAAAAGAGCAAATAGTCATCTTGATATCTTATGTAAAGATAGGTTTATAGTGACTCAAAATATTCTAGAAAAATTTCTGAAGTGTCAAGTTCTTTTGAAACTCAAAAGTTTATCCCCAAAAGATTCTTTTACTAAATACGTGAGAATTGGCTCTAATTCTCCTAATTCTGTTTAGCCCAAGTAAAAATACTAATAATTTCTAGATTTTGGTGGGAAACTACAATTGTTAGGACCCATGGATATTGCTGCAGTTCAAATACGGTACGATAATTACAAAATATAGACCATCTCTTTACAAATACAAATTGTATATTACAAGTCATGTACAGGGATCTATCATTTTTAAACAAACTAGCGTATCTAAGTTTACCTGGTTAGCAAGTGCTACTCCTCCAGTTTACAGTTGCCCTTCGTGTGACAGAACTGACCACCTGAGTGACGTTCTCATATGTAAACTGGCGCCACATAACAAAACCGTGTCTGTCCACTCCCTCTCCCCTCGGTCTGATGTGTACTGTTCAGGACAGCTGCACAGGAATCAGGAAGCAGTGTGTTGGGGGGGAGGGGCTCAGGAATGGATATGCTGGGCCCAGTGAGCGTCTGATATGCTGGACTGAGGTAATGACAAGATGCGGTGACCACCGTCACCTTGAACCTCTGTCGTGCCTGCCTCCAGGTAAATGGGCATGGGCATGTGCCCCGGATGTGAGACTTGAATCCCTGTGCGGCCCTTCTGGCCTCTGTGCAGGCCAGGCTGCCCTCCTCACCCATCCTCTCGAGGGGCCAGACATACCGTTTTCTGAGGCTGGGCCTGAGTATGCGGCATACCACACGCTCGGCCACTCAGAACCTGTTTCTACCAGGTTATGGCTTCCTTGGGGGCATGGTATCACTTGTACAAAATTCTAATTGAGCATTTTCCTCCCAACTAGTGCCTAGACGTTCCTAACTATGAGGCACTTTATCCCTGGCCCTTCCGTGCCCGTCCCAGGCTGACGCCAGCCTCCCTCACTGGGCTACAAGGTGGTGATGCAGATCATTTCGCCCGCCAGGTCCTCCTCCTCTCGCCCAGGGTCGGGCTCCTCATCGCTGTAGCCAGGACCGAAGTCCTGGAGTTCATAGTCCTGGCAGTGTGCGATGGGGCCCATGTCCCCATTGGCTCGAGGACACACACTGCCATTGAGCAGAGTGCTTGCCGCGCTCTCCATCTCGTCTATGGTGAGGTCGCAGGCATCGGCAATCTCATGTTTCGTTGCTGAGACAAACTTTGGGTCCCTTGCATAGCGCCCTAAGCCTTCGGATATCAGGACCTGCACAGAAAAGAGGGTCGATGGCATGCGTGGGAAGGTTCACCTCAGTTCTCACTGCCCGGCATACTTCAGGGACCCCGTCAGCTCTGTCTGCTAGACTTTAACTGGAAACAACCTCAGCACACTATCAGTGTCCAAGAGCTGAAAAGCTCCACAGGACCGAGCCGGAGCCAAAGCACCGAGGGAATGTGGCGTGGACTGGGTAGATGGCGGGACTCTGGCAGGACTTGGCAGTGCCAGCTGGGATCCACTCGGGTCTGAAATTCCACACCTGCCGCTGAGAAGCCACCCTCAGGCGGTGTGACTGCAGAAGCCACCACATCACCACTGCCCCCCTCCCGATGCTGCCTTGATACTCACTGCTTCTACCAGGCTGTCTGCGCTCCTTTGCTTGTCAGTGTGTTTGTTCCGGAAGCTGCTGGGAACAGTCAGGCTGGCTGGTGTGAAAGTCCTATAGGAGATGTCAGGCTCATCTGTGTACCAGGAACTGCGGTGGAGGGATGGCAGGCTGCCATTGACCTGGTCCAGAGATTCCGAGCGGTCCACCTGGATCAGGGGAGTGTAGCATGGGGTCCAGTCCCGGTATGGAGGGGTGGCTGGAGGGGTGGCCCATGACCGGGTGGAGTGACTCGGGGAGTACTTCTGGGCTTTACTGGAATCGAGGCCTGCTACGGCCATGATCTGAGGAGGGAAGTGGGGGAGAAGTCAGTCTGGCTTGTGACTGCTGTACCCCTCAGAAGACTGGGGAAAGATGCAAATGTACCAGAGACAGCTGGAGAGCTGGCAGGGGACCTGGGGCATCCTAGCAGAGTGAGTTTCCTCTTCCTCAAAGCCATAAGGCATTCTCCTTGACTGTAGTTGCCCCAGATGAGGAAGAACTGGGAAGGTAAGTAAGCTAACACTGCCCACATCTCTCTGGGATTCAGTACTGACGCACACGCACACGGCAGGGCAATCCGCGGGCTCTGGCTCACGCAGGACAACAGCCAGTTTTCTCTGCTCTAGCGCCTCTCGCTCATCCTGCAGTGAGTGCTCTGGCTTCTCTGAAGCACTGAGCACAGCCATGATTCTCAAATGTCCTCCACGGCACAGCCACCTTGAGATGTCTACTGCTACCTGTTTGTACTGGCTGGACTTGTAGCCAAGGATGCAGGCCCGTCCAGGCCGGTAGCTGAGACAAGCCTGGGCTTGTGCCCGCTGGATCACAGAACCTTAGAGACCGCCTTCACTGAGTTGGGACACTGGTGATCTCGGATTTCAAAAAGTTCATCTTTCTTCCATGATATACAGGAAAGAAGTTGAAATTGGTGTTAAAAGTGCAGGTGAATGGATTCTGTGGTTAAGAGCACTGACTTATCTTCCAGGTGACCCGGGTTCATTTCCTGGAAGCCATATAGTAGTAGTTTATAACCATCTGGGATTCCAGTGTTGGGAATCTGCTGCCTTCTAAACAAAGGGCACCAGACATACATATGATGGGCACACACACATGCAGGAAAAACATTCTTTAAGTGATGGCAAAGGTGACTAGAAAATCTTTAATGGCCATTAAGTACTTATAGGTTCGGAGCTTGGGGTCAGAACCTCAGGGAAATCTGGGTCTCTTAACTGGCTGCCTGGATGCAGGTTTCTGGCATCTCCCTTGATCAATCACCCCACACAGCATCTCTGATGAGCTAGTTCAAGAAACACACACATATATGCATGTACATGAACATGTGTGTGTATACACATATATATATATATTCATGCATATATACATACATGCACACATGCATGCGTGCATACATCTATCCTTAATCCCCTGGTGGATGGCCTTGGGGATACTGGCTGCCTCTGGCTCAGCTGCCTTTCCTGTGGGCTGGTGATTCCCTCAGTCCACAGAGGAAGCTCACCCACTCTGATGACCAGAAGCTGCACAAATGACTGATTGGAGGAACCACCTCTCTGAGTGAGTACTTAGTAGCAGTAGCTATTGGAATATTACAAGTGGCTGAATTGCCTTAATTCAGACTGCACCAGGTCCAGTATTCTAGGATAGGATGTATGGAATTCAAGGATGCCCAGTCCCCCCTTGATTGTATGTGGGACTCCAGCAGAATGGGCCCTGGGGTATCTCCCAGGGAGGCCTGCTCCAGGGACAACCAGATCGGAAGATGCAGGCTCTCTGCTTCCTCCATATGTATACCAGGGAAGAGGGGATCACAGGTCGGGCCCCAGCAGGGGTGAGGCCAAAGCGTCTCACCTGCTGCTGCATCAGGTGCAGGGGCAGGGCAGCACGGTGAGGCAGGGCAGGCGATAGAAGGATGTCTTCTTGGCTGCTTTGCCTGCGCAGACACTCAAAGTTGAAGGAGGACCTCCGATGGGCTGAGAAGAAAAAGCACATGACAGGTGGTAACGTAAGTCCTGTCTGGGCAATGTGACCTCAGGAGCCAGGACCACTTCCTGGGGCATTTGGCTGGATGTCTCATCCAAGAGAAATAATTACACAATCCCCCAACCCAGGGATGGGAGAACTAAATGAAGGAAGCCTCCTGTAGAATATTTCCATAAGGTAGCCACCGCCTTTCAGTGCTTGCCTGCTCTCAGGTGGCCCAGAGGAATCTGTGCTCAGTCGCAGGTTCTGCAATGTACCACAGAGGTCTGTCCTAGAATCTTAGGCATTCCACACTATCCTATCTCTGCCCTCCACACACCTCCATCTTTCTGAGGTCCCCCATATTTAAACCTCTTTTAAAAATAATTAAATTAATTCTGCCAATCAGCTTAAGCAGGCAAAATAATCAAATTCTTTGCGCAGAAAAAGCCACCTTCCCCAGCCTAAATGTGAGTACGTCTAAGAACTTGTCATGTGCCGGAAGCAACTTCAGGCAGAGGCTCACTGATGATCCAGAGCTTTTGGCTTTATAGGCCACAGGCTTAGGTTTCTGGGGGTCCTTTCGCAAAGCCAGGGCAGTCCTAGAAGCCCTTCTACTCAGCTGTGGACTTCAAGGAGTCCTGTCTGTACTCTGCACTAACCCAGCTGCTCTTTCTGAGGTGCCAGGCTTTCCTAGCCTATCAAAACTCCACATGTCCCCAGTTCGTGTATAGGAGAGCAGGGACTGGCCCACAGCGGCCTCCCAGCCATCTTGGACTTCACCGAAAGCTTTATAAACAGGTCTACAATGTAGAACAGGACAAGCCCTTGGATGGGATGGCCAGTGGAAAGGCAGGGTTGGTACTGTACTCAGGACAAGGGGCATGCTTGCACCTCCCACCCGAGCTGCCGCGGCTTGTACAGAAAGCCCCTCCTTGTCTGCTAACCAGTATGACGACAGAAAATGGGCCTCTGTCAGCACAACCTCTATACCCAATACCCAGGCAGGCCAGCAGTTCAAAACTGGGAGGAAACAACCCTTCTACACGTCAGGATCCTACCTCTAAAATAAGCCCCAGGTCCTCTCATCCAGTGGGCTCTACAGTCTCTGTATGTGGCTCTTTCATCAGCCTTCACCCTCTCCCACTGGCTAAGAATATAGGCCAGAGTAGCCAGATATTCCCCCCGCCCCAGGTCTGCAAACTGGAGGGCAGTGCCAGTGTCCTTTCAGATGAAGAAGGTGGCTATCCTCTGCTGTGGGGTCAGGCTGGACCTGGGATCAGGGCACTGGTGCCTCCCGAGGCTGTATGGAGAGGGAGTCAGTGAAGACAGACAGCCTGAAGAAGGCAGCGAGAACGGAAGGGAATGGGTTGTGCTCGACCTACTTCCACCTGTTTCGTTTAGCGGTTACGGGGGAGGGAAAGGCTTCATTTAGCCGCATGTGTTTGGGGATAATTAAATATTAAGCACTCGGACGGATCTGACTACATCCCCAACAGGCTGGAGTGGGACAGGGCCAACCAACCATGTTCTTTCCCGAATGCACAGTCAGGTTCGGGCACTCCTGTGAGTCAGCTGCTTCGCTTACTAAACAGGACCCTCAATTAAGCCTCGCTACTCATAAGCACAAGAAATGGATATTCTTAACCATTATAAAACACGCACGCCTGCAGAATTCAACTGCCCTTTAAGAGAATGGCAGAGACTTGGGGACAACCACAACTACAGGAGAAAGGAGAACCCCATTTCTCTCTGGCCCAGAAGGGGCCTGCTCCTTCTGGGGGTCAATCAAGGCCCTGGACTGCCCTGTGAGCAGACAATGACACACCTAGAGCAATGCTGGAGGGAGGGAAGAAAGGGGGAGGAGAGGTGGATCCCTAGGATGGACCAGGTGCTACTCAGAGGCAGGGGTTCTCCAGACAGTCCTGGGCCAGGGAGCTCTGTCTGTCTGTCTGTCTGTCTGCCCGTCTACCTATCTATCCATCAGAGGCTCAGTTTTCTCACTGTGGAATGAGAGAGTCGGACAGACTATGAGTCTTGCCTACCTCTCAGGATGGATGCAAAAAGCCTCCTCTTAGAGGGAGTGTGGAAGTTTGGGGCCACACTCTGCCTCTCTTTTCTCAGAAAGAACCAGTTCTGGGGACATAGATGACAAACAGGAAAGCACTGTCTACTGGGGTACTGGCTGATCTTAGGAGTTAGCAGCATCTCCATGGTAACACAGATCCATCATTTATCCCGTGTGAGGGACAGGGGGCAGGCATGGTACCCTCTAGGAGGCTTCACTCTAAACAAGAAAGCTGGCCTCACATGGTGGGGTGGGAGGTAGAAGGCGTCTCCTCGGAGATCTCCGCGAGTCATAGCCAATGGGTGAATCATCATCTTCTAAGAAACTCTGGGGGTGATGGTAGCCTCGGGGCCTCTCAAAGTCCATGGAGCTGCCTGGGTATCTGTTGTAATAGCTGTAGTTTTGCCTGGCAGTTGGCAAGAGAAAAACAAGAAGGTACACATGAGGTTCTGGGCAACGACCTTGACCTAGCTCGGACAAAGCCTACCCTGCTCCCTTTGCAGTCAGTTCGGAGCCATGGAAGCTTCCAGGTGAAGACCAAGGACCATCTGAGGGAACTGGGGCTTGGGACAAGCTACATGATAAATGTTTTTATGCCAGGCACAGGCTGAAAGCAAATGGCAATCGCACGGACCTGGTCGACCTGACTACCCTTTAGTTATCTCTCAAGACCATTGTCCCAAGGACCTGACCTTTCCAGGTACCTGACACAAGAATGCCATTGGCATGCAGGCTCCGTACAGTATGAAAAACGAGAATGCATGGACAGGTCCATGGTTGGGTTCTTGTTTGGCGGGCATGCTTCATCTCCAAAAAGCAAAATGAAAAGGTTGGCCTGTTGCTGCTGTTAAAGTAGCCTGGGGCTAGCAGAAATGGCCAAGGACATCTAAGGAGAGACCTGGGATGAACAAGCCCCCAAAGTGGGATCCACAGGTCCTTTTGGCTCCAAATCAGTGAACGTGGAATTTGGGTGTTAGCAGGAGGTAGGGCACAGGTAGGGGTCAGCTGTGTCTCAGGAGCTGATTTATGTTATGGTAGGGACACATAACACCATTTCAACTGTGTGAGCCCTCAACCTGCTAAGATAGTAATGTGTAAGTCAGGAAGAACAGCAGTACATGATTTTGTCTTCCTGGAATGGCTGCAATGTCCTAAATCAAAGTCTCTATTTTTTAACTTTTTTTTTTTTTTAAAAAAAAGGGTTGTTTATTTTCATTTTACATGTGAGTGTTTTGTTTGCATGTATGCATGCCTTGTGCATGCAGTGCCCCCAGAGCCCAGAAAGGGCATCATCTCCCCCAAGAACCGGAGTGAGAGTTGTTAGCTGCCATGTGAGTGCTCCCAACTGACCCTGGGTCCTCTGCGTCCTCCGCAAGAACTCCTCACCCCTGAGCCACACCTCCAGCACTGCAAAGTGCTTCTGTTGGCCTGCTGCATTCTTTCTGTAGGACGGAAGTTGGGAGAAGCAGCTCTGGCACAGGGAGGCTGTCCTAACACCTTGTTCCCTTACCTCCGGGAAAGATCCTCAGATCTGATGGAGCAGGAAGCAGGGGCCATTCACTGAGCCATCATCAGCCAAGCTGCTATGGGAACATAGCCAAGGTTGGTGCTCCCAAGTCAGTTCGTAAGAACTTATTTTGCAGGCCAGGTGTGGTGGTACATTTGAGAGGTGAAAGCAGGCAGATCTCTGTGAGTTTGAGGACAGCCTGGTCTACATAGTGAGTTCCAGGACAGCCAGAGCTATGTGGAGAGGCCCTGTCTCAAAAACACCCGCCCCCTAAAAAAGAACTCATCACGGAGATGACAGGGGTCTGTCAGCCATGGCAGGTGCAGTTCCCGGGTCCAGAGTCCTTGCTGAGGCTCTCGGAGGCCCGAGGTGAAATAAGGCAAACTTGAACTCCTGTTTGGTGTGGCTACCAGAACACGGAGTGGGAGCGGGAAGAGTGGGGGAGGGCTGGTCTTCTGAGATCAGCCCAGGCTGAAGCCCTCACCTGCTCCAGGTGGGAGAGCTGTCGTCTTCACAGCACTCCTCGCTACTGAAATATTCCTGTTCCCCCAAGCAGTGGGAGTCTCTAAAGTAGCCCTGGGTCTCGGGGTCTTCTCGGCAAATAGTTGGAAGTTGTTCATCGCCTGACTCAGACCTGCAGTTGGGAGAGAGATCTGAGAGCGTGAGGAGGCGGAGCCCAGATCCCCCAGTTCTCCCTCAGAGTGCCTGCTTCTCCCTACACATTCCTGCCCCGACCCTGTGACTACTCAGACCCTGGCCGAGATGCTCTGTGGCTGTGCACATGTGCATCTGTGTGTGTGTGTGTGTGCGCGCTTGTGGTCTCAATGCATCTGTGTGTGTGTGTGTGTGTGTGTGTGCACATATCTGTGTGTGTGTGCTTGTGGTCTCTGTATCTTGCATACTGCTGGAGCCAAACAAATGTACCTAGAGACCTAGACACAGATTTAGTAACGGATCAAGGCAGTAAAAATTAAATTGAGTAACGAATCAAGGCAGACCCATTCTGGAGTAGCACTGTATTCTGTAGTCAGTAGTCCCAAGAGAAGACATGAGGTTTTCATGCTCATTCCCACCCACCCCAGCTCTGATCGGTATGATTTCAGAGCCTGGGGCTGAGACTTCTGTCCTGCTGACTGCATCCTAAATGCAGCTGCTGGAGGAGTTCTGGGTTTTACCAGAAAATGTTTCTGGAGAACGTCTCCTGAGGTTTCCTTAGGCTGCTCTGTGCCAGGCCAGCGCAGTATTTTTGTGAGGCCTCAAGTTGCAGGTGACCCAGTGGGCTCTGTGACATCAACCCAGGGCCTCCTGATCTTACTGGAAGCAACGAGCCTGGAGCCCTTTCTTCTCGTGTCCCCAACAAAATGATCATCCTACTTGTAATTCAGCCCAGGACAACCCGTATCCATAAGAACATCCCACACACATACTGAGGGTTATGAGAAGTTAACCCCAGGGATCTGACGCTTGGTTTACAGGACATCATCTGGGGTTTGCTTCTCCTAAGCCCTATGAGAATCTGGACCCCCAAAGCAGTTAGACACAGGGTCAGAGAAAGGGGGAAGATGAGTGGGTACCAGTGCTTGGATGGCAACAGCATCTATGCCTGGACCTATAAGTCCTTTTGCTAGAAATAAGTGGGAACTGCTTATTCCTGAATGCAAGCTCCGGCATTTTGAAGAGCTATCAGGTGACTTGGCTAAAAGACCTATTTCTTCTTCCTTGACACTGAGCAAAAGTCGTCGGTAACGGGGCAGCAGGGCATTTATAACAAAGACAGAGGCAACAAGCACCTACCTAATGTAAGTTTCATAATAGCGGGTTCTATCCAGGAAAGGCATACCATGGGAGGGAGGGAGAAGAGAACAGTTAAACATTTCCAAAAGCATCAAAAGTACAGACACCAGCCCGCCTTCTGGGGGTTGGCAAACTATAGCTTGCTGGTCACATATGGGCTACTATCTGTTTTCATGTGACCCACGAACTCGGGAGAGAGTTTACATTTATAAAGGGCAGAAATGAAGTAAGAAGAAGAGACCCTTTCAGCCTTTCTGATCCTATAGAGCTCAGGTCTCAGTATCTACTCCCACAGCTCTCTGGGAAGACAACGGCACTGGCTCACTGAGGAGTATTCCCTCGCTGCTTCCATCCCACTGTGGCAAAGCTGGATACGCTTGCGAGAGAGGCTGAACGGTCCTCAAAAGCTAAAATCTTGTTCCTTCACAGAAGAAATTCTGTAGCCCCCAGCCCAAAGCATCTTGTCAAACTGGGGAAGGTAGATTTTGTGACAACCCACGCAGCAGGATGGTGGACAGTGGATTGGTAGGTCCCTCACATAAACAATGTATGGACAGGCCACGAGCTGAGTGGACTCAAGTTCAATTACAAGCGCCTGCAGGGAATCACCACGTGCCAGAGCAAAGGACAGAAGCCTCGCCTTGCTCTGCAAAATGGACGTTGGCAAGGGCAGACAGTGCATCTCCTTTCCAAGGTTACCTTTTAATACTGGACCTTCTTTGGAGCTCTCGATCATGCTTGTAGGAGTAATGCCCATTTTCAGACGCATGCTCAAGGGTCCCAACGCTGGGCCGCTTTCCGTGGGCAGCTTTGGACATATTGGCATTATTGAGATTGGCATTGGTTGAGGTGGGAACGTGCTTCCCTATGGAATTATGGTTATGATGGTTATGACACACCGAATTTCCTGCTGGAGGAAACAGCGGTTTCTCAGTATCACTTGCAGGTGGAATTGAAGGCCTTTGGACATGCAGGGGACGGTGGGTGGTATTGGTCTGCTGAAGGGAATCTCTCCTATCACTATTAACATGATTGACATGGTTTCCAAGCAGGGCACCATTTCTCTGCAAAATAATGGGAGACAACACCAGGTAATTTAACAAGTATTTGATGCAGGCTAGCTATGTTAGGTCATCTTTTTTTTTTTTCTACATGAAACACAAATTCTAGGCAAGCTCCAGAGGAACCCTGTGAAACAACCTGAGTGTCTCAGTGGTCAGGTGAACGTACTCATGTGGCAGTTGGCCCACCTGAAATGAGGAAGGTTACCAAGTCCTGAGCTGGGGAGCAAGTTCTCTGCTGCCCCTTGGGTTTGTTCTTCCAGTCGTTCCAAGATGAGGTGACTGAAGCCCAGCCGGCTTGCTGAGTAGCCCCAAGGTGGGGGTACTTGACCTTTTCTCTGAGCTTTGAGGCTGGCTGGCAGATCAAAGAACTGGGCTAGAGCAGAAGGAGGGCAGCGTGGACAACTGCTAGAAAGACCCAGAATGTTCCTGGACTCTGGTCAGTTTGCTGTGGCCAAGCTGAGAAGCTGGCAGCTGGGGATGGGGGAAAGCTCAGGAAGAGGGATGGTCTGGCCCACGAGAGGTGCTGGTGGATGGAGAGGTTCCCAGGACGGACAGGGGCAGGTTGTTCCATCCCCTCTAGACCCTGCCACTGGTTTGTATTCTCCGCACTCCTCTGTGGATCAGAACCACCCCAACCAAAGTCCTGCCCCTCTCTCTCCATGTGGCCAATGAGTAGCTAGGCACGGAATAATTACTTTGAATACATCTTCTTCGTCTGCTTTTGATTCTTCCGGCTCATCATCTTGCAAGTCACAGGATATAGCACGTCGGATTTCTGGCCCAATGTCATGCAGAGTCCTTAATCCCGCCTGGGTCAATGAAAATGGCAGAAGAGGTTAGACATCAAGAGACCCTGATCCAGCCTGATGGAGTACTGAGAGGGGCGGCCGTCTCCAAAGACCAAGTCAAGGAACTAATGTGACCTAGGGTGTATGGGATATGGCCAGGAGGTCACAGTGATACTAGGTTGGAGTGCTTAAAGCCTGCAAATACTCCTCCTACAGTACACTAGGTACTGGGACTGTCACAGCCAAGAATGCATGTCCTGACTGACAGTCTTCAGAAGGGCTGTTTGCAGAGAACCACATCCAGATCTCTGAACAGAGCAAGGAATGTCACCTGGTCTTCCTTTAAAAAAAAAAAAATGAAGGGACAAGAATTGCATGGCTGCATGGAGGCTGAGCTGGTCTGGGTGCAAGTAAGCAAGCAGCCATTGGGGCTACTGCCTCACTGGAAAGCATGGAACAGGTGAGTGACATCATACCCTGCAGTCACCAACACACTCAAATCACAAGGAAACATCAACAGTCACACAGGCTGAGGTTGCTGGGCAGTGGGGCCACCCAAGCCATCAGGGCCCCCTTGGCCCATAGTTCATGCAGGTTGAGAACTCACCAGCAGAGGGATCGGGATTCTGAAAACCACACAAATGGTGGTCTTGTTACCATCTACAGGGAGTACAAGACCCATGGGTGACAGCTCTAGGCTCTACACTTCTACACAGCCCATCTGTCAGGACAGCTGCACTGGGGACACATTATGACGTGCGCATGACCCGTAGAGAGGGGAGGGTGGAGTCACTAGCTCTGAGAAGTTTGAATTTCAGCATTAATTTGAAGAAGGTCAAGAGGCTGACTTCAGACGAATAGGGGCTTCATCTTTCTCTACAGTTTGTCTCTGATCTTGGGTCTACCTCCACTATCCATGTAGCAATAGCAGCTGCTGCCTGCAACCAGGAGCCTCTACAAGCTCACAAAGCACCTAAGGTACCAGCTGGGCAAGCACCCTTCAGCAGCTTGTGTTGCAACCTCAGGGCCATTTGCAGAAGACAGTTGTGGAGTGCTGGGTCCCGGGTGCAGACCGCTTTCCAATGCTGTCTCCTCAGCACTACAGACAGGGTGTGGAGCTATGGGAAGGACTGAGATAAAGAACAGTGTCCATGCCTGAGACACCCATATAGTGGGGCAGACTCCAGGGGAAGGGGAATGAGGAGGGGATGCAGGGGGAAGTGGGGAGGGAAGGCAGGAGAGAGGGGAGGGAAGGCAGGGGAAAGGAAAGGGGAGGCAGGGGAAAGGGGAGCAGAGGGGATGCAGGGGGAAGGGGGAGGGGATGCAGGGGAGAGGGAAGAAGGGGAAAAGCAGGGGGAAGGGGGAGGGATACAGGGGAAGGGGGAGGGGATGCAGGGGGAAGAGGATGCAGGGGGAAGGGGGAGGGGATGCAGGGGAGAGGGAAGAAGAGGAAAAGCAGGGGGAAGGGGGAGGGGATGCAGGGGGAAGGGGGAGGGGATGCAGAGGAAAGGGAAGAAGAGGAAAAGCAGGGGGAAGGGAAGGGGAGGGAAGGTAGAGGAAAAGGGGAGGGGAAGGAAGGCAGGGGAAAAGGGAGGAGATGAAGGGGAAAGGGAAAGAGAGGGAAGGCAGGGGAAATGGGAGAGAATGGAGGGGAAATAGGAGAGGAGTGGGGAGGAAGGGGAAGGGGAAGGGAGGGAAGGCAGAGGAAAGGGGAGGGGAGGTAGGGGAAATGGGGAAATGAGAGGGAAGGCAGGGGAAAGGGGAAGGGAAGAAATGCAGGGGAAGGGAGGCAGGGGAATGGGGGAAGGGGAGGGGAGGTAATGCAGGGCAAGGGGTGGGGAGAAGAGGGAAGCAGAGTGAGGCTAAAGCAGGCTGAAACCCTGGTGTGAGAATACTCAAAACTGGTCTTCTGCAGGCACCAGTGGTGACAATGGTTAATGTACAGTGGTCAGGATGTAGAGTTGTTCAGAAATTTCTCAAGCAGCCACATCCACAACATCATCTTGGTTATTAGATGGTTCTACACACAAGGATAGACAGGCTGGCTTCATCCCATCCCTGCTATGACTGGAGACTAGCGGCTCCTTCCGCTTCACGAGTTACAGGGACAAACTCACGCTGGAGTCAAAGTGTCCTGTCTAGGAGTGTTAGTCAGGTGGAGGACAAGCACAGCACACTCCTAACTAAAGCTGAAAGCATAGCATGGCACCCTAAACTTACTATGCATCAAAAAACATGGCGATGAAATCTTTCTAGCATGCATGTCAATGTAGAGGAAGGGAAAGACAGGCATATGCCAGAGTTCCAGAACACTTCATGATGTGGCCACACAAAAGCTACTTCCCGTTCTGCTGCAGTCAGATCATAGGCACTAATGCACACAGGCTTTGGCGAACACTTGCATACACACACACACACACACACACACACACACATGCACACAAACACACATACACACACATTCACATATGCATGCTCCCTCTCTCGATTGCTAAGTCCAGTATATTTTCTAGGTCTGCAGCAGACCCAGCTCTATCCCTTGGAGATACCATAAAGGCAAACCCAGTGTGTGTTGGTAGATGCTCTTACCCAGCACAGGCACAGGTATGTGAAGAAAAGCCATACCCATTCATTCAGTTTTCTAGGGTGCAATTATCGAGAGACCATAAACTTGGTAAAAAGCCCCTTGTCTGACTTTGGGAGAAAAGGCTGTTACATATTTGAGGTTCAAACAAGAAGAAACAAGGCTTGAAACACCTGCTGCTGTACCCACAAGACAAACATGGATTCTATTCGCTGTGACCAACACTCCCAGGTAGACTGTGCACATCCATACATATTTTCAAGGCCTAGGGGCCAGGAACCTTCCCCAGCTTAGACAGCAGTCTTGCTGCCATTTAACTAACTGGACTAGATGTGATTAAAAGAAATAGAAAACTATTTATTTGGATAATTTTTCACATCATCCTCTGTTGATGAGTTGACATTTCACTGAAATACACATGTAACAGTTGCAGAGTGAAAACAGAAACTGTCCCCACCACACCTTCAGAGTTCCACAAGATTGGGATTCCGTTGACAGAGTGGGCAGTAAACAGACATAGGACAGAGGCTTGGTTTGCAACATAAATCATGGAGAGGGTTGAGAGGTGGCTCGGAGTACCACTTCCCCAAACAAATAATGACAACATATTTATTAAAGAGACACCAAAGGAGGAGAGTCTAGGCATCACTCTTCCCAGATGTGAAAGCGGAGGAGGGTTCCGAAATCAGGATCCTAGTTTGCAAAGCACACCAGGCAAGAGTGGGGCTGGCTTCGCTCTCTCGCGTAGGACCTGGGGGCAGGGAACCAACACATAGGTTCCCAACTAGAATTGAAATGAAGCTTAAGCACAGCACCCTGAATTTATTACATATCACAAAACATGAGAATGAAAATTGTTCTAGCACACATATCAAGCTAAAAGGTAGCTTAGGCTGTTCCAAAATCCCATAGGCACAGAATCCAGTTCCAAAGCACAGTCAACTACCTTAAACCCTCAGAGAAATTACTTAGTTGTTCACAACACTAAAATTTTTTCTTGAAAAAAAAAACATTTTACAGTCAGTAAAATTTTCTAGTTTTTCATATTTGTATAAGTATCTATCTCTATCAGCAAAAATATTGTTTAAATTTGAAATGTGGTCATTAGCACTTAAACCCACACAAAGCCATATAAAGTCATCCCATTGACATCACAGTAGAGTTATGGTTTTGAATAAACACAGAATTGCTATAAAATATAAACAGTATTGTCTTGTTTTAAGATGTCCAATCTTACAAAATATTAAACAGGATCAAGCCTAGTCTCTGGTTGACCTTAAAATGCTAGCTGTTGTCATAAATATTAGTTTAAAAAAGAAATGTTGGCGCTGCGCCTGTAGACTGTTCCTTTAAGTTTTAGACACCATTTAATTGGAATTTTATAGATATTTACTCTACTTAATGATTAATTCACCAAAAATAAATTCTCTCTCAACATTACTGAAGCAATAGCAGAAAACGGTGCCCTGCTGTGGAGCAGGAATGCCCCCTGGGAAACCCAGACCTTGTTCACTCAGGGTTGAGTGCCGGCTAGCTGGCTGCATAAGCAAAGATTTGCTGCCTGCTTCCCCAGACTAGCTCCCTGTGGCATGCCAGCCCTCTGCCAGCTCTCAGCTGCACAGCACGCACACACAAACAACCAGAAATCCACCCCAGACCTACGCTGTAGCAGTGAAGGAAAGAGAGGCGAGTCTCCAGGCAGCCCTTAGAGAGACCCTCCATCTTCACAAGCTGGGTGCCAGGCTTCAGACTCCTGCCAAAGAATGCTACTCCGGCACAGCCTGCTCCACCACCCAGACACGCCTCATTCAGCCAAAGCCGGCTCTATGCAGTCACCTCACTATTGACAAGTTCTGGTTAATTTTTTCGGGAGGCAGGCTTTGGCCCACACTCAATTACAGAGGACAGTTTTAGCCTAGCTCTATTAGAAGACAGGGCTGGAGATTAAATTCTGATAGAATGAACATGTGTATCCACAGGCTGTCCCCTGCCTCTTCTGCACACATGGGCACACCCCTTGCTCTATCACTGCTTTCCTCTGGGGGAAAATGTCATGGTGTGGCCTTTGTATCCATTGTAAACAGGCCTTCTGTTAGACAGAAAGGGCTAGAACCATGGGCATGGCACTCCATTATTCATCTACACAAAGCCCTCCTCTCCCGAGATCATGAGTTACCGAGGGGTAGGCCCAGGGCTGGAAAAGTGATATGTGCCACCACACTCTGAAAGCTAAAGGGGATATTTAAAAGCTTTACCACCTGTGACTTGCCCTGCCATGGTCCCGAGACACCTATCTGCTGCAGTTCTGCCTTGTATTGGCTGGGGATTGAAACAGGGACTCATACATGCTAAGCAAGCACCACTGAGCCACACTCCCTACCCTTCTACCTTGATGCTTGGTTTAAGTTTAACCTCAGAATCAGAGACATTTCTGCAT